TTGACAAAGAGCCACAAAATAGACCTGTTAGAAAATTGAAGCCAATGGGATTCAGGGAACAGTGGCAACATGGATCTGAAATTGGCTGGGAAACAGAAAGCAGAGGGCAGTGGTGAATGTTTGTTCTTCAGACTATATTATTTAGAAGCTATACTTCTTCATAATGCTAGTTTAATTTAAAAATACTGAATCCTCATATAATAATAATCCTTGCATTTGATAATCACATTTGATAATCGCATTTGCCTAATCACATCGTCGAGACGTCTCAAAGAGCTTCACAGAAAATACTGTAAAGTGTAGTGACTGTGTGTTTTGTGGGCAAAAACATAGTCTTCAGAATATATATAAATAAATCACATGCATGTTCAAACAAATTTCTGACACAAGCACATAAATATAATGTACTAAATCATATTCTTGCTTCCAAATTAAAATGTTACATCAATTAATCTGTTGTTTACACATTAGAAACACCTCAACCCGAAACATGTTCAATCCTCTGACAATCATCACTTAAGATATCAGCAGAATTGGTTATTTTTTTCTGTTTTAATTTGGATAGAAAGATTGAATTAAAATATTAATGCACATATTTTTACTCTTTCTATTTTATCTTCATTTTATAGAAATCTCAATCCAATTATAAAATATATTGGGCTGAGAGCTTTCGTGCATACCTGTGAAAATCCTTCTAATGGGGATCTAATTATGGTGGTTTCCTAACAGGATTCCTTGATAAGGAATTCCTAGTAGAATTCCCATTATCCCTTGGGAACACCATACCAGTTACCAAAAGAGGTTCTCATTTGTACAACTCTGATTCCTTGCTTAATCTATCCATGTCTCTTTGACAGGCCAAAAAAGCATAGAAACAGACAGATTAAGCAAGTGGGTGGGCAGAACTATGGCAAGTAGAGTTTAACACAGCAAAGTGTGAGATTGTACACTTGGAAAAATAAGAGTGGTTTGAATCATGTTTTAAGTGATGAAGTACTACGAGGAGTAGATGAGCAGAGATCTAGGGATTAAATTCCATAGATCATTTAAATCTGGTTCTTAGGTGAAGAAAAGTGTCTATACGGCAAATGGGATGCTGCCATTTATTACGAGGGTCTGTAATCTAAAAGTAAGGAGGTGTTTCTCCAGTTATATAGAGTGCTGGTAAGACCTCATTTGGATTCCACATTCATTTTTGGGTGCCTTAGGAAAGATCTACTGGGCTTGGAGGGTGTTCATCAACGGGTTGCTAGATTAATACCTTGTCTGAAGGGAATGAGGAGATTGGGTAAATTAGCTTTGCATTCCTTAGGTTAAAGATTAAGCAGTGAGCATTAAATATAATTAAATAAATTGACAGGTTACATATTGGTTGTCTCTTCCCTTTTGTTTAGGGATCCATTAAAAGGAGACACAAGCTTAAAATTCAAACCAAATAATTTGATCTGAGCTTAGCAAAGATTTCTTTACAAAAGGTTGTGACGATGTGGAATACTCTGCCCTGCAAAACTATAGAGATGGAATCAAGAGGAATTAAAAACAGAGACAGATACTTGGGTGATAGAGGTATCAAGCAGTGTGGTGACAGGACGTGACATTGGGAATAAAAGATCTGCCAAGATCTAACAAACCCATGGAACAGACTTGATGGACTCAATTGCCTGTTCCTGTTCCCCTAAGCTCCTCTCTTACTTATTAAGGAATCTCATGATGCAAACTACAACAAATTGGACCAACGTGGCATTTGGGCAAGGTTCTGAATGACGCTCATGGTACAGTATCCCAGCAGGAAGTCCCTTTCAGGACAGGAAGGAAGAAAATGGAAGCTTTTTTGAAAAAAAGCCAAACTAAATGCTCTGCGTATATCATCTATGAACAGGATATTTATACCATAAATGCACGTAATGGTTAAATAATGCAACATGCAAATTTAAAACATTAAATCTAAAAAAAATGCCATTACTATAAAATACAAATAAGCAGAACTGGAAACACATCGACAGAGAATAAAAATGATAGATGTGTGCATTCTTGATGATAAACTAATAACATGATCTGCGAATGAATGTTATTTCTTTGAGAAAACCAATTATGACAGTGTTATCTTCCACACATTGTTGTCACAGCATCCCGAGACTGTAGATATTGAAACTCTGACAGACACAATCCATTTCCCTCAGCTTGTTTATTCGCAACATTAATAAGAAATTAAGACTTCTCATAATAGAGATTTAGAATATTTAATATAGTTTCCTGAAATATCAGCTCCAACAATCATAAAATGTACAGCATAGGAGTTAATTATTTAGTCCACTGAGTTTACGTTGATGTCTTAACAGAGCACTAATAATGTCCCATTCACACTGTACTTTGTGTCCAATTAACATTAAAAGTGACAAATAACTGTCCTTTCTACCCCATGTCCTTGCCATTACCCGCTCTGCCTTCCCCAACTCTGCAACATCACCCGGTTCCGCCACTGCCTCACCCCTCAAGCCGCCGAAACCCTCATCCACGCATTCATCACATCTAGGCTCAACTACACCAACTCCCTCCTTGTCAGCCTTCCCAACTCTTCCCTTCACAAGCTGCAGATCATCCAGAACTCTGCAGCTCGTGTCCTCTCCCGCACCAGGCTCCGTGACCCCATCACCCCCATCCAGCTCCACGAGCTCCCATCCCCAGAGGATAGAATTCAAGATCCTCGTCCTCGCCTTCAAGGCCCTCCATGGCCTTGCCTCTTCCTACCTTTGCGACCTGCTGACCCCATATCAACAACTTGCATTTATATTGCGCCTTTTAGGTAAGGTAATGTTTCAGAGTGTTTTACAAGGACAGGGTCAAACACTAAGCAAAAGGGGAGGGAAAAAGGCCATTGACACATTTGAAGAGATACATTTTAAGGAGGGCCTTGAAGAAAGATAAGAGAGGGAGCGAGACAGATGGGTAGAGGGAGTTCCAGAGGCTATGGGTGTAGGATCTGAAGACTCGGCTACACATCGTGGTGTAGAGAGACAGCTAAGGATACAAATAAGGTTGAGTAATATCGAAGCGATAAGTGCTAGCTTGAATATTCCTCCAAATGGCACACATTTAAGTTCCCACTTACACACAAAAACAGCAAAGACAGGCCTTGAGCAGCCCTGATGCATTTAACAAAGGAACTTTTTGGAGCTTGACAAAAAGAAATAAACACTTTGTGATTTATTCTCAAGCTTATTGAAGCATGCAAAAAACAGAGATTCAGCAAAATTGTCTCAGTAAACAAGACTCCTAAGAGAGCGGCTGTCTCTCTTGATATCTAAACTAATCCATTGGCGATCTGTAACAGATCCTCAATTTCCTACAACAGTGTGTCTAAATTGGAGAGGGCAATACAGTGGCTTATATTTATGAAATAATTATAAAAACAGTGGTAACTGAACCCCATCAATATTTGTTTTCGTCAATAAAAAGCAGAAACATTTACTAAACTATCAATTAAAATAAAATTAATTTGCACAATTCTTGACTTGGATTTGTACATTTAAAAATAAAATGTACAAACGTCTAGCCTACAAGTATAGTATGCTTTAGTTACATGCACCTGTAGACAAAGTTCTAGACATTGCATCAACTTATAACTCAGCCATTGAAGACAAGTCCAGCAATAGCTAAGTTATAAGTTGATGCAACTTCTAGAACCAGAAGTCTAAGCCCAGTAGAGCCTCACTATATGTGGTAGTGGGGTAAACTAAATCCCAACCAAACTTATAATGGGGCCACAATAGCTGATCGGCAATTCCACATTTGCTTCGCAAGGACACAACCAGCCAGCTTGTTTCCCGTGTTCTGGTTCCTCACTTATTCCTCCCAATAAATGCATCTAGCCCACTCCTGAAGTCATCGACTCGGTAATGGAGTCTGTCACTATTCACTAAGTGCATAACTTCCTGGAGCACTTTCTCTCTATTTTAAGGTCACTTTGTAATAGATGTTACCTCTGGAGGTCAGTGAATATCTGTCAGCCAGTAAGATTCAGGAGCTCTCAGTGATAAATATGACTTCTCTCAGACTTCAATCAATTAAGCATTTATTCATGGTTATCATCAGGCAATAGTCAAGTTAGCAAGACGTGAATATTACACTTCAGGTTTAAACATATTTCATTAATAAGCAAACTCTATCGAAGAATACTATTATACTCACACCTTTCTGCAAATCTCCCTTATTATATTTACCTTCAGGACAAGTCAAGGATGTTTGCCTCAGGTAGCAAACTCAGGCAATCTCTTCCACAAGGCAGTCTCTTGATCAGCAGGGGTTTAACACTCAGCATGATAGCTACCCCGATGTGTTGACCTCAATAGCTTTAGGCAGGTAGTTTATATAAGTATCAGTTGCATTGGTTTCCCTCAGCGCGCCAGATCACAGATTGGCTTAATTCTCATCTGTTGCATTTCCCCCGGGGAAGTGAATAGCTCTAATTGCTCCAGCTGCACTGGATGCGATACGTGCTCCAGGTTTCTCTGCACGTGTGGCAGCTATGTCTAACTTGCTTTAGGAAACCCCTCAACTGTGCTAACATTTGCTCTGGTTCAGATTCCCTGCTAGTACCATATTCCAAGTCAGGACTATCCTCATTAGGATTTCCTGTCTCAAGGAGCAAGATAAGTTCAGCAGACGAGTTGTATGTTTACCAGGCATTCACATACACATTAAATGGGGTAGCTCCTAACTCAACTCTGCACATCAAGGCAAGCTCTCCATGAGTAATATCATAGGGCAGACGTGCACAGTTACCCTGATAAATTCCAGAGAACAGAAACAGAATAGCTAAAAGCTCACGCACCAAACATGGGGCTGATCAGGTGGGGAGCATGAAGCAGGTTGGTGTTCACTGATCAGAGGAAGAGGCGGGTCAGTAGAGTTGCATATAAATGTATGAAGCTTAAAGCACAGTAGTACCCCACTCTTCTTAAAAAAATAGAAAGCCCTATATTCAAATAGCAGTGTCTTACCTGATGTGAGAAACATGCAACTCAGCCAGTAACTGGCTCTTAAACCACTGATCAAAGTCCACATTATCAAAAAGTTCGTAGGCCGCCAATCCAATTGCATTGTACACTATCAAAATAAGACATGAGAATTATTAGTTATACAAAGGGAACATTTCATGTAAAATAGTTTGCCTTCGACATTAAAAAACAAGAAATTGCTATTGCAATTTAACAGTGACATACACTAATCAGCTGAATGTTTAAAAGCCGTACCAAAAATCAAATCCTCCATTTTTTCTGGACCATGTAAACCAAATCAGATTTTTTTTTAACTTCAAGAAGTTTATTCTGTAATGAATAAACGGATAGTTCTGGGGGTGCAGTCACAATCCTTGCATTTATCACATCTTTGAGATGTCCCAAAGCGCTTCACAGAATATACTGTAAAGTAAACTGACTGTATATTTTGTGAGCGAAACGCGGTAGCCAACTGCGCACAGCAGTGTCCCACAAACAATCGTGGATTCAAGTGACCAATCTTTTATGATTATTTTAAAAGGAATTATTACCCCAGAAAGTAATCCGCCAATCGACTAACAACCAGGTTCCTACTTGATGCTAGGTAAATAGCATTAATTGTTCACAATGACCAGGTTTTAATGATTCGCAACCTGGTCATTCAATGGAGTACCAAGCAGCAGAGCAGCAGCCAAGAGCAAGTCTCGGCATTCAGTTCTTGGGCATCACTGATGGCCCTGGAGCCCACAACCATTCTGCCACCCGAGTTCAAACAAGAGATCATTGAAGATGATCAACAAAAGGAATAAAGGCATGAAAGAAACAAAGTGTCTGAAATGAATGATGCATGGGTGTAAGTTATGAATCTCAAGTAGCAGTAAAGTCTCTCCTTTCATTGCTGAATTTACGTTTTTAAGCATAAATAAAATGTAAATTTCTCTTCTCATTATCTACATAGCAATATGAATATTAAAGGCCACGTAGATATACTGGCAATATAGACACCAAAACCATTGTTTTTTTCCTCTATATTGAAGTTCACTGATCTTTTTAATCAAAAACATAATAGGACCAAAAGCAATAAGCAGGAGAATAATAGAAGTCCAAGGTAATCTGATATACTGAAAATCATACCACCAAAAATAATTAAATTTCTGCTTTATCATTTGCTGGGCAGCACTCCATAAGCAAGAATAATAATCCTTACATTTGATACATCACCTTATTACATAGTCAAGATATGGCAAAGTGCTTTTACAGCATATGCTGTAAAGATTAATAAAATGAGTAGATGGTCCTCTCCCAAATCTCTTTCAATGAAAGACTAAATTTCAACTAGGGAAGCACTTGAATAACCTGTGCCCATTTACCCTCAATGTCCTCTCTCTCTTAGGGGAATTGTCGATTTGGCCTCTGCTATAACCCTCACAACAGCTCAATCAAGATCATTAATTCAGCATTTGTGCATTGTAAGTGGCAAACTTACATTGCCACTCCAAAGTGCACATCATTGGTAAACCAATTCACTGTGCTTTAACAACAACCTTTGCAAATATATTTGTATAAATCATACAATACAAATATATTTGTATAAATCAGTATATAAAATTGAGATAATTAACATTGGTATATAATACGCATTCCAAGTTACTCAAAAATACTCAATAATAATTGTCACACAAACATGTTATCAAAACTGTTGTCATCATTAACAAGTATTGCACTTTCGTTTTATTAAACATTGAACATTTGGGGAAATACAACATACCGGCATCTTTAACCAGCAGTCCAACAGAATCCTCCACATTGGTTGGACCTTGAAAAAAAATTATCACGAGCACAATTTTTAAATAATTTCAATTTTTAGTTGAAACAAAATAAATGGGATACAGAAAATGTAAAAAAAAATGAATGAGAGCAACAAGCATACAGTCCTAGTATTTTATAACTGTTACAGCAAAGCATGACAGTTATCCAGGTCTGTTGTTTTTATTACAGAATACTTAAATGTACCTCATACATATATGAATTATCTGAAGCATACTTTTTGTGTTTTAAAGGCATGAAATACCCAGAATGATGAATGTCGATAAATTGCCTCCTCCTTCCCCATCTTCAGATCACACCTGAAGACCTTCCTTTTCAACCGTGCCCAGACATCCCCCTCACCCCCACCTCTCTTCGGCTAGACTTCAAGCTTTGTCACTGTTAAGCGCTCCGCTTGAAGGGTGCTATATAAATGCAAGTAGTTGTTGTTTCTTTTGCCCTCCAAATTGAGTGTAGACCAAATCATTTACTTCAGTATTCATTCTGGGGCTCGGATTACTTCACTCTACAGATATGGTAAGGCTGAACCGTTCTTCTCTACAAAAATTTCCAAGGTGGTTCACAATTAATGGTGACTGATAGCTACAGCTTGGGAGTGGTGATAATCAGATCCCATTGGAATTAATTATGTTTTTGTGCTGCGAGATTAATGCAAATTTGTTAAACTAGCAAATCAGTTCAAGTGTAATTATAGTTACTGTAACTCCTTCAGTGGAGCCTCAGAGTTCATATTGTTGGTGTCAGTTAGATTATTCGTGTTCTCCTATTAATTGGCTGGAGAAATGGATCCTTTGCTTTTTTACACTCCACGTTTTCTCTTAAAGGCAGCAACTTAATTCCGTTCAAGGCCACCATTTCATACCTGTCAGGAACCCGTACAGGATTTTAAAAAAGACTGCAGATATGGAGATATCTCTGCCTCTGGAGATATTAGCTTCTTACTTTCTGAACATATTTATTTTGCGGCTCTATTCAGTTTTCCTTCTGTGGCTCCAGTGAGTGAGTGTGTTGGGGAGGGGGGTGCTGATTTTGACAGTTCACACATATCGGATTAGGCCTGGAAGGTTTATATACAAGGTCACTCCCATCTGCAACACTGGTGATTCGAAAGGTGCTGAACTGAGGTGTGATGAGACTAGAACCCTCACACACAATGTATGGAAATGGCCATGGCTCCAAGAATATTAAACTGATTGCAAATGAATTTGTTGAAAACAAGTATTAAAAGTCAACCTAACCCACTTTACTATAGCCAAAGCTTTTCACTGTGATGGTAGATTAATCCATACAAAATTACTTGCTATCAAAATCTCCATTATTGTAGCATGCGACTACCAGGATGGTAGAAGGCAAACAAGATGGACCTTTGTCTTTTTTCATCTAGCAATTCCTACGTTGGTATGTTCCTTCTGAGTGCTGAGTTGAGAAACCCCCCTTTGGATTTCTGGATGTAACGTTTGATTAACCATCTCCATTTTATCGTAAGTTGACTTTATCCACATCTATATGCCACTTGAATGAAGAGGTAATAGAAGTCAGTCCAACAAGAGGGACTCATTTAGCCAATTCTCATCCAAAGTAGAAGCATTTTGTTGATAAGTGCAGCTTGCCCATTTGTTTTGAAGTCATTGGTGCTGCAGAATCATTTATCTCACTGCTCACTCACAGTAGAATATATAGACTATGGAAATCATAGCATTAACTTATTTACAAAAGCTTTTCTTACGATTTTGTACTTGAAATATTCCCAAGTAGTTTCTGTAGGAATAATTACAGCCTACTTCGAAAAATGCCATGGATAACTTGAGTTCGCTGAATTAAAAGTAGAATTACTTTGGAACCAAACAAATCAAGCAAACTGAATGCAAGAGTAAAACAAAACGCAAAACACTGCAGATGCTGGAAATCTAAAACAAAAACAGAAGTCGCTGGGAACACTCAGCAGGTCAGGGTCGTGGACCCGAAACATTTACTCACTTTCCTTTCTCATAGATGCTGCCTGACCTGCTGAGTGTTCCAAGCAACTTCTGTTTTTGAATGGAAGAGTATCTTCCTAAATTACAATCTGACATGATATAAAGGACTATATCTGCTTAGTTATTTTAAGTTCTTGATTGTTATTATATTTGATTATTTATAAAATATAATAAGAATCCTTGCATTTGATATAGCGCTTTTCACGTCTTCTCAACATCTCAAAGCACTTCACAGAACACACTGTAAAGTGAATTGACCGTATATTTGTGGGCGAAACATGGCAGCGAATTGCGCACAGCGGTGTCCCACAAACAGTGGTGGATTGAAAATGACCAATTTGTTATTGTGTTTTGTTTTGGAGGGACGTAATAAGAGTAAGGAAACTTACCCAAGGTTTCGCCCTGCCTGGAATTGAACCCAGGTGTCTCGCTTGCAAGGCGAGTGCTCTAACCACTGAGCTATTTAACTGATAAAGTCAGCTTGGGAACAGATAATTTGTATTGAACTATTCCTCTGTCCAATGTGGCATCATCACCAGCTTTCTGTCCAGTGACATTACAACTCGAAGGGATAAACTGTCACAGTTCACAATCATGGTGTCATGAGGGTGGAACTCAAATCACTTTTTTCTCTTTAAACTAGCCTTTTCAAAGCAGAGAACCGGAAAGATACCAATAAGTTCAGATACCTCACATGGGAACACAAATATATGAATGACAGGAAGCCAAATTGTATATCCACTTCACGCAATCTAAAGTCTATTTGCCAGACTTGTATTACATATTCCATGGACTCTCCATTTCACACTTGGTCATCACACTTTAATCTAGAAATTTAAAATGTTTCGCAAGAAATGATCAACTCTTCATTCTTATCTCACTTTGTGTTTTCTTTCCATCAAATATTGGCCCATGGCTCTCTGCTTTTGCTTAAGAGAAAGCTTCAATTTAATTCCTAAATTTAATACCATATACTCAAATGTATTTGTTGCAATCTCAAATTGCAGATCAGACAACAGAATATGAATCAAATGCCCAGATTTGCAGGTCACAATTCCTACCTGAGGCTGAAACCTATGCACCAGATTTAATGCAGCTTGTGTCTAATCTCCTCCCAGTGCTTCTCCAAGTAGAAATCATGCACCTGACATGCTTCAAAATTGGTCCAATGCTCTTGAATCTATTGCCTCGGTAAGGTGACCAGATGTGGATGAAATATTCTAAGAATCGGTTATAAATTCCTTGCATTTTTATTCTGTGTACCGTGTTGTACACTCCAACACTGGGGGTAAAATTGTAATTTCTTTAATTCTTCACGAAAACTTCAAATTTCCAGTTGATAAATGATTGACTGCACACGTGAGGCCCCACTCCCCAGATTCACTTCGGCACAATAGTTGGGCTGGAAGCCCAGGATGAATATTTAAGCACCACTATTGTTATTGCTCATCATATAACCCAGTACTTCAATCCTGCTTCTCAGAAAGTAGACTTAATTCAAAATGAGGTTGCCAGTCTCCCATACACCCAATATACCTGCTGCAAAAAATAATTATTTCCTTTTCCCTTAAAAGGAATCCAGAACTAACGTAGAAAACAAATATTCAGACAATCAACTTTCTGAGCAATATGTATTTTTATAATTACGTTATTCAACACCATCTGTTTTTTATTGTTCTATAAGGTACATTTTGTAAAGCAGAAAGCAGTTTGCTAAGGACACAACAAACATTCTGAGAATAAAGGAACATATCAAATACACTGTGTACTGCAGATACTGTATTTTTATATCATACATACCATGAAGTGTCTGCACCATTTCCAGCAGCACAGGAGCAAGTGTTTGACTGTATTCGTGAAAAATGTCCAGAAACAGCACTTCAGTACATGGCTGGGAGACAAAAACAAAAGGATCTCAGGCAAATCTAATTGTGCAAAACTATATGAGATTGTGTACTGCTTTAGGATTAAAAGATCACACACAAGATTTGGATGAAAAAGGTTATTTAGCTTATTCAATTTCATCCTTCCAGAACACCCACTTTAATCAGCCTTTCTTTTGATGTAGCGCCTTATCACACAATTGAGGTGTAGGCATCTCAGGATATACTGTAAAGTACTGTATAGTTGTAGACGAACATGGCAGCTAATTTATGCACAGCAATGTCCCACAAACAGCGATGGACCCTACCTTTCCTCCATCACAGCATCAAGCTATATTTTTTCAGAAATCCAAATTCAGAATCATCAAGTCCTGAATGAGAGCCAACTTTCTACAGTTGAACATCAGCAAGACCGAGGCTCTCCTGATTGGCTCGCGCCAGTGCCTCCGCACCTTAGGCACTGGCAGCATCAGCATCCACGGATGCACACTCCATCTCACCAAAACAGTCAGGAACCTGGGCATCTCTGTGGAGTCCTGTAGCTCAGTGGTTAGAGCACTCGCTTTGCAAGTGAGAGACCTGAGTTCAATTCCAGGCAGAGCAAAACCTTGGGCAAGTTTCCTTACTCCACACGCCTAATAATAATCCCTCCAAAAAACAAAACAATAATAAATTGGTCATTTTCAATCTACATGATTGTTTGTGGGACATTGCTGTGCACAATTGGCTGCCACGTTCGTCCACAAATATACAGTCAATTCACTTTACAGTGTGTTCTGTGAAGCGCTTTGGGACGTCCTCCCGACGTGAAAAGCGCTATATCAAATGCAAGGATTATTATTATTATTATCTTGTTCGACCCTCAACTGTCCTTTATCTCCCACATCTGTGCCATGACCTGCTCTGCTTTCCCTCACCTCCGCAACATTGCCCGACTCCACCACTGTCTCACCCCTCAGGCCACTGAAACCCTCATACCTGCCTTTATTACATCCAGGCTCGACTATGCCAACGTCCTGCTTGTCGGCCTTCCCAACCCTCCACAACCTGCAGATCATCCAGAATTCTGCAGCTCGTGTCCTCTCCCGCACCAGGCTCCATGACCCCAACATACACCCCTCGCCCAGCTCCACTAGCCATCCCTCAGAGGATCGAGTTCAAAATTCTCATCCTCGCCCTTAAGGCTCTCTATGGCCTTGCCCCCTCCCGACATGAAAGGCCCTTTAGAAATGTAATTTTGGTATTGTACCGTATTCCAGCCTCAACTACCTTCCCTAAGAAATACTTCCTTGTATCTGTCCAGAAATCATAAGTTATAAATGGTAAACGTTGTTAACTTCATCACAATGTTTAAATGTTTCAATTCAAATAGCTATTTAACTGTCAAAACGTAGCCAAAATGAGAAGACAGAAAAAGTTTAATATAAATACAGTCGGCGTTTTGTATTCACAACAGAATTTCTCCCATTTTCTGTCTATCCCATCAACAGTCTCGCAGGCAAGCTTACACTCACAACATACAATAACTTGCATTTATATAGTACCCTTCACGTAGTACAACATCATGGTAACAATGAATTAGTTTTGCCTTTGTTAACCAAGGATTGATTGATCAAGCCTGATAAAAGGATGAAATACTTATTATTCCCCGCTTGGAGCATTTTCTTGACCATATCAAAATTGAGATTTAACAGTCTTTAACTCTTTAGGTAAGATTATTAAATCCAAAGCAAAATTCCTTCCTTTGAGTGAAAAAAGGAAAGGTGTAAGCTATCTCTAAGATAGTTGGAATTTAAGGGTTTGAGAGTTTGAGTGCAGTGTTCTTAGTCTGATAAATGCTGGGTATATTCTTTTACCAGGTTAATATCAGAGTACTAGAACATCTGTAAAGTAGTAATCTCCATCCAAATTACTTTCAAATCCCAGAATATGCCACCATCTAAATCTATACTAACAGATAGAGTAACGTCATCAGCAGCCATCAGCAGGGCTTCCGATCAGAAAAATATGGGAGCTATGACAACCAGAATCCTGATTTTTATTAAATGAATCTCAGAGAAGGGAGGCTGAGATTTTTGATTTTTGTATTCAATATTGTGAACGGGTGGTAAAAGGTAATACATACTTCAGAACCATAATACCATTAACTAAATTGATATCATCCACTACCATTCATTGGTATAATATTGCCAACAAAATGTTCAGTAAAATAAGCATGGAGATGCATAGAGCCCAGTCACAACAAAACAAAAAGCTAACCAGAAGCACATATGCCCAGCAATAGATGAGGAGTGAAAGAAGGCCTACAGGTCCATCAAGTTAAGTTCCAAGAGAAACCTCCCTCTTCATTCCTCCTACCTCATAATATAAACCTGCACACCTCCCCTGATACTGGACATTGGAAACACTAACTGAAGTTAGAGTATGGAAAGTTGAGTTGGTGTGAAGTTCAAGTGTGATGTGTACATCGAGAGAAATGAGTAATAGTGTGAAACTTGTAATTTGGGCCACCAACATCAAGTGCGTGCCAGCATTGGCCTGCATTACGATCCCCAACCTACCCACCCCACCATCGGGTGAGGGTTTCAGCCTATCTGTCCCCACTCTCTGGAACTCCATCTTGGAGTCTCTTTAACTCACCCCTTCCTTTGCATCCTTCAAGTTCTGCCTCACGACATTCCTCTTTGATCATCTTTCCCTACACCCCCAACCCCTCGGCTCCCACTCCCAGCTCGGGTGTAAACTCTGTCCTGTCCAGGCTTTTGGACGTGCTCCCGATGTGAAAGTTCTTATATAAATGTAAACATGTTGTATAATTTCCATGAGTGTTGTTTTGTGTGTAGTATAGACACGAATCTTAATTAACTTTGGTTCCGAGCACAACTTTAAAAAAGGTAACTGAGGCCAAGAGCAGCATCTAGAAGTCAGATGACTTCAATCAAGCCATTCTGGGGCTTTCACTAACATTATTCTGCTGAAAGCCCAATTTGATGCACACCACTGTTAGAATATGATATATGTAATGAAACGCTTTAAGGCAGTGCCGAATAAAATTGTAAACGTTAAGTTGTGAATCTTGTTTATACGAATCAAAATGGCGGATAACACCATTTTTTACTCAAACCATCACTCAACATCTGTCAATAACATAAGTTGTTTTTGTCTAGTTAAGAAGAAATGGTCAACATGAAATATTGAAGTAAGACAACCTTGGGAGGATACAAGCTGTTTTGTAGTCAAAACGCCCGGTTCTAGGGATAAACAAGTAACAGCACGCTTGACTCTTTGCCCAGTTGCAAAAGGCCTACGTGCCTGACAGTTCATCGGATGAACAAAAGGTATAAAGTTGAAAGGTTGTTGACATAAAACAGCAGAATCGGCAGGGAACAAACACGAAGAGGTGGAGGCCCAAAGCATGCTGACTGCTCCAGAACTGAGTAGTATATGTTTTATGCATTCTTGCTGTGCTTATATTTGAATAAACCGAGTTAGCCACAAAACTTTACTGTCTGGTCTTTTGACTCGAACACTGGGAACTGAGATCCCAACACCAGCAGTTACACATTCACATCAGATGTCATTGCGTGCCCATAGCATGGGCTCTCTTCTGTACTTTACATTCTAATTCAGTCACTTTAAGTTTCTATTAAAACCTGAGATACAAAGCTAAGTTTAAGCCAATCATAAAACAATATACAGGGACTTTGGTTGATCTCTATCACATTTCAATCAGCAAGTTACATAGAAACTCCAATTTATTGTAGTTAAAAAAACACTAGATCGACTTGATATACGCAATAGTTAAAACCAATTAAGAGATAAACTGGTTTCCTTCAAAGGGTTGTAGGCCTTCATTCATGTAGGTACTACATGCACCAAATTGAGTGGATAATTAAAATTAATGACTGCAGGAGGGCACCTAGTGGATAAGTCAATTGATGGTTAATGCAGCTCCCAATTATGGGTAATGAAAATTGGCAGATAATAGGGTTCTACCAAACTTGTATATTGTCTGGTTCATTCACTGGCACATTAGTAGCCCGAATGACTTGCTAGTTGAAACTCATTACAGTCACACAGCAATACCTTGTGTGGTTACAACTTTAAACTTAGGAGCACAGAAATACTGATATTCAATTCTAGAAAAAGTGACACAAAACCAAAACAATAGTTTAATTCGTGAATATCCTTTATACAATCATTCGAAAAAATCCAGCATCCACTTCTACTCAACAAAATCCTGGTTCCTCATACTGAGCCAAGCTTACTGAGACTGGCAAAACGTGGCATTTTAGTGGTATTGTGAATTGACAGGCAAGAGAAGGATTCCAATTCAGGTCTCTAAATTAAATTAAGATTAACACTGTAAACTACACGGTAAGAAAATCCAGTTTCTAACAGAATCAGCTACTTATGCCAGAAACAAAATCATCAATGACATGTGACCTTGGACACTTGACCAAGTACAATTAGGTTTAAGTGCTCTTTAATAACACTTAATAAGAAAACTCATAAAATCCAAAAGGAATTGTTTCAATGGTGGCAATAAGTTTGTAAATATTTTGACTTACCCTTAAACTGTACTTCCAAGAATCCCCACCAGTTTCTTCTACAGCTGTTCAAATATAAGTTTGAAAACATGATTAAATTATCTGAAAACAATCAAGGATAACTGAACTAAGTGTAAATAACAGCAGAATAAAAACAAAAGCACTGATCTAAAACCAGATTAGATTGGAACAAGAACGGTTCTAAAACACAGAAGCAAAGAATAAGCAACAAATGTACATCATGTAGGAGATTGGAGTAATACAAAGCAAATAAAGTTAAGACTAGCATCTCTAGGCCTTTGCAATCATTGGAACACAGCAAACTACTCATTACTTGCCAAACAAAACTAAGAGACACTTTCCCTCACTTTTACGCAATGGCATCCTTTTTATGAAAGCTACAAGCCACTCTATATCTGAAGATTACAATAAACCCTGCATTTGATACAGCTCCTAATCATGACATTGAGCTGTCTCAAGGAGCTTCACAAGTTTTACTGCAAAGTGTAGTGACTGTATTTTGTGAGTGAATATCTACAATTAGGTAAGAGGTAAAGAGGCAAAAGTTACAACAGCAAAAATTTACTTTTATACGTAAATAACTTTCACATCGGGGGATGTCTTAAACCACTCCGATGATTCACACAGCTGATTAGGGAGGTCTCCTGGTTAGGGAGGGGACATGCAGCAGGTTGCCAATTGCTGAGCAGAGGCAGCGGTGGGTCTAGTGTTGTCAGAGAGGTAGGATGGGGAAAGACCGTGAGAGGATTTGAACATAAGGACAAGCATCTTGAATTCAATCTACTGGGAATAGGGAAGCAGTGGAGCTGAGTAGATTGAGAGTGATAGGTTCTCAGAGAAGAGGACATGTGCTGCAGAGTTCTGGCTAGTCTGCAGCTTTTGTAGAAAGGAGCTGGAAGTCCAGCAAGCTGGGCATTCCAATAATTGAGCCTGGACATGATGGAATGGATAAGGGGCTCCAAGGCCAGGGTCAGGGGAGGTAGTAGTTAGGTTTCCTAGTAACTGATCAACATAGTATGTTATACCACCATATTCTGAAGAATTGGAAATGATTAAGGGATGCACGAAAGATCAATACACTGTGCAACAAAAATAGTCTCAATCAAAGTGACCAGAGTTTAAGTAAAGCATTTTCATATTTGGCCTTGTCCATGAAGTTCATCCTCTTCATGGGAGCTACATTATCTATTTCTATCAGCCTTGTATTGTGGTTAGAACAACTATGGACACTTTCAGTTTTCAGGATTTCCTGGTGATCAAGATACCGTACAGGACTAACGTAACCCAAATCTACCAAACTCATGCCTGGGTCACCCAGCAGTGTCAAGAGAAGGAAAGAAAGATGGTCTTAACTAAATAAATTGCTTTGAAGAAAAAGAAAAGATCCTCCATCAGAACTGTCCCAACACTTTGCACACATTTAATCTGGTTAACCTCTGAGATCAATTGAGGATACAATTTCGATGAAAGTGAGATTGCATTCAACAATGCAACAACAGGTTCCCCAGCTGAATTGTTCAACCTCACACACTGGTACTAGAAAATGCAATACAGCTCCAATCTCTGTAAGGTATATAAACTGTCCAGACGGTAAAGCAAATTATGAACAGATATCTCCTGCGAGTTTTCAAATAAATATGCCACTATACTCATTCCGGTCTGGCTCCAGAAGAGCTCCAGATAATATCTTTCACACCTCTCACTCTTATTGTTGGGCAATGCTAAGCTGACAAGTCAGTAGAGAGGGCTCCCTCTGAAAGCAAGACATGCGATACTTCATTGAAAACCTGGTAAGTTGTGTTGATAACGGTTGGTAGATTTGGGGGGAAAACAAATTCTGTAAACAGGATGGCATTAAGCTTCATTGAAAACTTCCTGGTTTGCTTTAATCTTAGAGGAGTGATCAAGCCATACAGAATGCCACATATGCACGCCATCTACAAATGGAAATATACTCATGTACTATATCTAGTTTTCTTTTTACACAGTCAAATGTTATTCTTTGTAGTTTAACTGATCTAATTTTGTATTTTAATTATTCAAGATACTGTAGTTCCTTATATTTGCATGGATGTGCCTCATTGGGCGTAATGAGGATTCAACTTGTATTGATTAAATGTTTCCTTTGAAGGGTATTTGTTCAAGTGGTACATTTACACACTAGTGGGTTTTGAATAATCCAAGCACTGTGAAATGAAATGGCAATCACACACTTTCTAGCTTCCAGCTGCAAAGGGAGAACCACAAGGTACAACCAAAGCCAAGAATGTGTGATATAAGAGGTGTGGAAATTCAGGAAAGTTGTCTGCAATAGAAAAGGACATGGACCAAAATAAGAGGAAAAATAATGAAGCTAAGAAAGAGCAGTGAGCTGACTTAGTCCTCTCTAAAATAGTTTTTCTTAATGCCTTGAAGTATAAGATGGCCAAGATTTTACTGCTGGTATCAACTTCAGGTCTAGATACAAACATCAGTATTCTCAATCGAACAAAGGTGTCAGCATCAATATTAACATGATGAATTGAAAAGTTTGACAACTGCAGACGTGATACTGTAATGGACAGAAGTCTAACCTGTTTAACCCCAAGACTTGCTCAACACTGAATTAAATGCAAACCAACAAAATGGACAGTATTTTGAAAATCTTAGTGACAAAAAAACACAAACTCCAAAACCCAAAGGAATACCAAGTTTGTTTAGCTGACAAATATGGCAATTAATAGCTCAACCTTCCTTTCAGGAACCTGTTGTTTGCCTAAATAATTGAAGGCCTATATCCACAATCCTTCCTCAAGTTGGCAGCGTGTAAAAAGGTTACCATTACGTGAATTGCTGGAATCACAGAGAAACAACCAGCGTCAGTGCGTGCCTACATATGTACGTGCTCTGTGTCGCATGATGCTACTTTGACTCGGCGGACACCAGGTATAACTGCAGCGAAAAACGCAAAACTGAAAATAAATCATGAAAGATAGGAGATGCACAAGAACAAATATGCCCATGTCACTCCTAGTTGCAAGACCTTTCCAATGAGGTATCTTGTCTCTCTGTCAATCGGTTATTGAGATCCTTCTTGAAGCACAGACAGACACTGTTGTTTTATTAGATTTATCCACAGAAACCTGGCTCCTCAAAATGATAGGAATGAATTGATTCTCCTTCACAACTGTAGGTACCATCATATTTTAAACTAGTCTGGTTTATCACAAAAACAATATAGTGACTATCTGTAAACTGGAATTTTCATATTTCTGACAAATTCTATCCACAAAATATAGGACTGCTGCCTCTTCAATCCTCACCTCTGCTGACTCCCTGATGTTGAAACTGTAAAATATTTTTTAAAAAAACTATCACTATGAATACATGGACAGAGAAGTTTTTTTTGTTTAAATTCATTCATCTGACTCAAAGGCAAGAGTCCTACCAAATGAGACAGGTTGACAACTAAACCACTTACAATTACTGAAGATAAAGCATAAAATGAAACTGAATCAAACATCCTTCCCAACATAACCGCAATAATTAATTTTTCAGAGCAAACCAATTGAACGGGGATAAACACCTTAAAAAGAATAACGAAGATAGAATAACTCAGATAGCAGTCATTCTTCTCCAGCCATAACAAGTTGCAAATGCAATATTTTTTGCTCAATATGTAGTTAGTTTCAAATCATATTCAGCACCAGCAGAATGAGAACAGAGTAGAATATGTTATCTGAATTAATGTTTAGACTGCACACATTTCAAGATTAGCTCTTTCCTATAGCTGGCTTTATTCTTTTCATAGTTTCAAACAGTTATTAATGCTCAATTTAGCTGCCGATAACATGGCAAATAAGCTTTCACTACAGAATAATTTTGCAATAGGAAACTAGAATTGTTCACAGGGAGGGGGAAAAGAGAAGAGGAATAAAACTATAGAGCTCAAAATTACACCAAAAATATTCAGCACAATACCAATGAATTGTTTTGAAGGTTTTAACAAATATGGAAGTTGTTATCAATCTACAAGGTAAATATAGCTTAACTTTAGTTTGCTACTACAGTAGAACTTTCTAAATTAGTCAGCAAAATACGTAGCTGTTATGTCCAGTTTACATTTCATTCACCCCTTCATCTATGGAAAATCTTGAAAATGTATAGCATCTCTATAGTATCTCATTAACTATTCTTTTTTGGTGGGGGGGTGGGGGGGGGGGCGAAGAAAGAGGTGAGTGAGGGGTGTGTATTTGGAGCCAAGCTGGCTTCAAGATGATGTGCTTGGCCATGGAACGTTAGAATCAAGTCAATTCTCTGTGCTAATCTGGGTAATTCGGTTCCTAATACAAAGGTGTCTGCAATACTCCCGGCATTGTTAATGACAGCTTGTCTCATTGTGCTCTCAATGCAAAGCTATGCAGTTTCAGGTGACTGAACTCCAAAAGCACTCCCAATGCACTTTCTTGTTCTCAAGTCTTGGCTCTCATCAACCTGTGTCCAATACTCTCTAAAATTAGGTAAGCCCCTCTGGGGGAGAGTGTGCATTCCAATCCAGAAATAGGGAAAATTCCGTATGTACGTGGAATACACATGTGGAAGTCTCAGTCTGGTTTGTATACTCTTCAGCAAGGTGATGGATTTCCATATGTGTCAGACATCCAGCTGACCAAGAAAAAACATGCAGTGCAACTTTTACATCAACGATATTTACATTTTAAATCTAACTTTTTCAAAACCTCTCAACCAATATATTATGCAGTATCATAGATAGTTTTGAATGCGATATTTAATAGGCAAATCTTTCAAAAGGGACATAAAAATTATTGTACATGGCATAATCTCCCTAGTAAGCAATGTTAAACTAACGACGCCAGATCAAAATTAAAGCAAATGTCAGATTATTACAATCCCATAAATAAAGCACATCGCAATAACCAACTTAATTTAAATGCTATGATTCAGATTCTTAAAATGTAATCAATTCAAACAGCTTGCATTCATTCACAATTCGTGACTAAATTCTACAGCTACAGGAGTTAATTAAAAACAAGCCATGTATAAA